TTCCGTGTGGGTTTGTACAGACAAACACATCTGTGTAAAATAAATAATACAATAAAAATAACACACCAACTTAATAATTTATTGCACTATTTAAATACTGACTACAAAAAAATGCTGATTTTTTAAAGAAAATTATTCAGAAAATATAACGTTGTTCTGTCTCTATTTTTGGTTCCGCATTTGTTTTCCTACGTGTCCATTCACGGTATTATCTATCTTGTAAATCATTCATGTAGTGCAAATATTTGGAACTTACGTAATGTGATAACGCAAGTCATTCAAATGGGAAAAGTCAAAGAAAATGTCATTATCGTTTAATTTTAGGAAATGTTACTCAAAATAAAAGGTAGGAACAAAATTAGACGGAACTATTATTGTAACAAATAATCATGTTATTAATTTCAAGACTTTTAATTGACTTGATATATAATCTGTGCAAACACCAAAATGGCCGGTTTTGCTACGACTGACACAACTTTTTGCTTACAGTATCTTTAAAACCAAATCTGCTGAGAAATTTTATTAATTATTAAATTTGGACACATTTTAATGAAAATTTTAAACACTCCGCATTTAGTTAAACCATGCTCACTTGTGGTAAGAGTGAAGTTATTTTGTAATGACCTATGTGGTATCCTGATCCGTATTTTTTTCAACCTGATCGCCCAAAACACACAGATCTTGTACAGTATAATCATTTGTAATTCATTTAAATGTCACAGAATATATGAATGTAAATTTTTATGTTATATAAGCTGAAATAAATTAATTTTATACTACATATAATTAATTTTATATTTTAATATTAGTTTAAAATCAAGTTTTAAATATTGGTATGTAATTAAATGATTAAATTAAATCAGAATTGAAAAGAAATTTTACTTTTATTACATAGTTGGTTAGTCTTGCTAAAGGAATGTAAGATAAGAAAAAAATGCTATTAGTTTTATAAATTCTACAAAGTAAATTTTATGACGTACCTACAGAATAAGTAATTGGAAAGTAAAATTATTACCTCAATGAAAAAGTGATGATTGAAATTATTTACTTATTACTAATTTTGTGGCTAGATAGTGACTTTTTAAAAAAGTTAAAGAGGTGTTACTTTTTTTGTAACTTTTATGACAGAGCAAACACGAAATACATGAGCCTCTTGTAAGATACAATATATATATTAAAAAAAATATGAAATCTTATACACACGGAACAAAAACGGACCTGCTGGGTTCACAAAATAAAATTTGCGGTTTTCTTAAATTTAGAAGGTTATTGCCGACTAAAAAGTATTATTAACTATTCTAAGGGATAGTCTGTTTTAAAAAATATATGTATTTATTTATAAACCATAGAAGAATGAACCGTTATTATTGAAACAATTTCATCTTTTTATTGGTGGTTCATTAATTTTAAATATTTCTTAGCCTGAGTCGATGAAGTCTTTTAAAAATATTTAAGATTTTTCTTTTTCTTAGTAATTAGTAGACTTTTCACCATTTATAATTTATACCGGAATTAAATCTAATCCGATTTTAGAAACTTGTAGCATATAACACCTACAGCGATCCACTAAGCCAAAAAATCCCAACGTCTATGTAAGTAGTAAATAATTTTGAACCTGGTACAATATCCAGTTCATGAAAAGCAAGAACACTGTCTTATAGTAATTAACTACCGAATAATAGTCGTTGAAACAAATCCTTTTTATTATGGTATATGACAAAACTTCAGGTTTTGGACTTGCAATTATTTGTTTTACGTGCAGTACGATTATTATTTTATCGGTCACATTGATTCCGATAACTCTGACGTGTTTAAAATCCACTTATATCGTTAAAATCTTTATTATTAACATGGTTTTTCTCCACTACGGTAGTTATCTAGAAGCCTTAACCTAACATTGAAACCAAAATTGTACTTTCATTTATAAACATTAAGATATTTAAATTATAAGTTCTCCATTTAGTTAACAGGATTTAATAGTAGTTACAAATAGACCCAAAATAAAGTGAAATGAAATCCTCATTTTATATTCTATAATAGTTTTAATTATTTACTATTCAACAACAATAATTACCTAATGAGATCTAAGATTTTCGCGAGTACACATTTAAATGAAACTAATATTTTCGGATTTTACTTCGCGTTTTATTTTAGAAACTACATACTCCCCTACTATACTCCATACTCTAGGGAGTATGTAGTTTCTAAAATAAAACGCGAAGTAAAATCCGAAAATATTAGTTTCATTTTAACAATAATTACCTTTTCGTCATCATCAGCCTATCAGAGACCACTGTTGAGCATAGGCTTCTTTCTCACATGGAGAAGGTTTGAGCATTAATCACAAGGCTTGCTCAAGAGGGGTTAGTCATTTCAAACTTATAATTGTAAAATTATAAGTCCAGGTTTCCTCACGATGTTTTCCTTCACCGTCTGTCAGTGGTGTCTAAATAATCTTAGAAAGTACATATGACTCGGAAAAATCACATTCGTACTTGCCAGGATCGAACCCGCGCCCTCGTGCACAAGAGGAGGGCGATTAACTACCGGGCCATCACTCGTAATTTACTTTTAGTAACGGTTAAATAAATTTCTTAATATCCATCCTAAGAATCGACTGCAGTATTTAAAAAAGATAAAGATTCATTTCACCCAACTTAAAATTCACCTGATTAGTATTTAAAATTGTTTGTAAAAAGACCATTTCATATAAAAACTATTCTGCTTTATAAAATGGTAAACAATAAAAAGTTTTACAGGCTAATTTAATCACAGACACGTTTTACAGTCAATGTTCCCATAAAATATCGTACATTGCTAATAAACTAAGGCTTTAAATATAAAGAAATTTTTTAACATAATATTTATTATATAAAATTTGTATATAACGTTAAGTAACAAAAAATACTATTGTAATAAAGCGCCTGATACAAAAATAAAAAATCCATTTTTTTGCTATTATTTTTTATCAGGCACACAATATGAGTAAATTTAATCTTTATAAATAAATTATATTGCGGTTATAATCAACTGTATTGACTGTCTCAATAACATACATTTTGTTTTGTGCTCCCGTTACTCACTTATTAATAATTTACTAAATAAATGGTATAATGTTTCTATGGTAAACTGATTTTTCAATTTAAATGCTATACAAAACTAAATTTAAAATATCGAAGACAATAGTATAATTTATATAAATAAATACTAAATTCTATTTATTTATCAAAAATATTTTTCGTTTTTTAAAAATTTATTAACATTCCCATTCAATATTATTAAAACTAAACAACTTTATTTTTTTATTTTTTATTGAATACTATTTAGCAGTATGAAAAAAATCGCTTAATTATTGGATAGATTAAAAAATAATATGCTTATTACTTTTACCTGTTACGCTACCCTGTTCACATAACAGTAAATTCGTCATATTAGTTTTTATAAATCAGTTTACAACAATATTTAACAATAAAGCGAACAACATTTTTATTTTATATTATATCTACACGAAATATTCAGTGACATATCTATATTTTTAGATGCCTTCTACCTAAATAATATTCTTCTCATAGGATAAATTTAAAAAGGTAAAAAGATTAATAAAAAAAAAAACACTTTTAAATAATATAATTTATTATCAACAATAACAGATCAATAAGAATTATTTAAATCTCTAAATATTTAACAAAAATTGTATAGCTAAGGAATACTAAAATGGCAGCCATATTGTATAAACATTTAAAGTTCGCTGTCTTATAGAAGAACCTTGAATATATATTAACAATAAAGAAATAAAATTGTCTATATCTTAATATTGATTAAAAAAATTATCATCATGTCTTTGGCATTCATTTTTACACCCGTATATGACATTTGAATACATTTAAAAATTCAATAGGAACATAAGAATTTCACTCTGTGATGTAGATGTTGCAATAACGTTATTACTTTAAAATTGTAATATTTTAAATATTATGTCAATGAAGACATTAATATATATACAAATATTCTCGATTGTGTTGCATACCAAAATGTACTGTTATTTTTTAATAAACAATACTACAAAAATAATAAAAATTACTCATATTCTAGGGGTTTCCAAATAATTTGACTAACTAAACTACTTTTTGTATTAAACTACTAAAGTGTTAAACCACATTCTAATAAAATAGAAAAGTAATAACAATATAATACAGTAATTTCTAAAAAATAATATTAATAATTATCGAACAAGTACAGATTTACTAAAAAATATTTTGATTATATTGGTATCAATAAAATACTTGGTAATGATGTATGGGCCACATAAGGAAAGTGATTTGTAATAAAAGAAATATTAATTTTCATTCAATCATTGTTATTATGGTGACTGCCTTAAGTTAGTTTTACGAATCTAAAACAAATACATATAAAAATATTTCTTGTAGATTAAATCAATTATACTTCTTATTATCTCTACAAAGTAATGATTACCTTTTTTTTATTAAGGTACTTTCCCATATGGCCCCTCAAAGTTAATTCATCACAGATTACATTTTCTTTTACTCTTTTTCTTATAATATGACTTTACATCAAAACTGTGGCTATTTTGGTCTGTATGATTAATTTCTCTCTTATGGAATTAACTAATTTTTAAATTAAACATATCAAATAATGTCTTATTTATGTGTTATAAAATATATTCATGGCATTTTGCTATATTCAAAATTACAGAAATTATGACAGAACATTATATATATTTATATGCTTATTAAATAAACATATTTATTGAGATTTTACACAATATCAATACGGCAGTGTTGTATTGAGTATACTTTACTATAAATTGATGCAAACACATACATCTCTGCCTAAATTAAAATTTAAAGCACTAGGCATATCCAATCTTTCCAAAGCCAGTTAAATTCCTACCCAAAACTTTTCGTAACTATGTCTCTATTACTAGAAAAAGACAAAATAAATATTCATTTTTAAGCCAATAATGTCTAATTTTGATACATCTAAATCCATTTCCTATAAGTGTTGTTCATGAAAATAGTAACGCCGGCATCTATGGGATGTATAATGAATGGTATAGATATGAGACCCACACTCACCGTTATTATCTTACGAGTTGTAAGGGGTACCTTACTTGCATTTCTATGAAGTTGAGTCTGGGTGAATGCACATAGCCTGAAAGTGACGATATTAAAAATCAATTTAAGTATAAACAAGATTATAAGCTTAATATTAAATGTTAATAAAATATATACATAAAAAATCTATGAATGCAGTATAGCAACTCTAAATTAATACCTGTTTATAACTAGTCCCGGTATAGCAACCGATGCCAAGGTCTGCCAGAGCAATGCATCACCAGTTTCCACTATTATTTTCTTAGGACCTCCGCCTCTCTATAGAAATACAATATAATTAACTGTAGAGAAAGATATTCATATGACCTCTATAAATTACTATAATTTTTTTACATAACCATTTTAAGTCAATAATCAAGTATATTTTTATTTCATGACATTTATATCTTCTATATTATTACAAAGTTACCAAAAGTATATTTTGTTATTAATTCAATATAAAATGTTTTTCATCAATGTAAGTTAAACTGTTACATACTTTATACATCTTCCAACTTTTATCTGCAGTGTCGGCGAGCACATATCCGAATGCAACTGCATAGCTGGCTCTTACCACTTGCACGGGGACCACAGCACGAAACGACTCACCCACCTCATTTGCATAACCTGTAGCATGGATTTATTTAGTGACCATTACATAACAAAAGATGAAGGGTAAGTTAAAGAATTTCTGAATAATTTTTTTCTTCCAAGATTTAACTTAAGCATAGTTATTAAAGATCGTATGGATTATAATTATGTGTATGAATGTTAAGACTATAATGACTAGTTATTTGTATTTACTTACCCAAATACCTAACCCAAGTGTCACGAAAGATATCCTTCTCTTCCAGCATCTTCTTACTGATAAACGTAAATCAAAAGTATCACAGCTCACAAAAAGACACGACCTCGTTTTTATCTCATTGTTGATAAAGCTTCTCGTATATCAACATCTATATGACTGATTTAAACAATTTACTTAGGCAAACTTTTGTTCAGACATCAATTCAAAAGTTAGGTAACAATTTTATAACGACAATTTCGATATGGGAATAATTTTCGTACCAATATGACCTTATGGGTCATACATTTGTAAGTTCGATGTGAAATGTTTCTTATTTTCCAAATTCGTTCTATTTTCATATAAAGATAAATTGTTTAACAAGCTACAATTGAATTTCTTTTTTGAATTTATCAATCCGAATTGATTGACATTTCTGTATGTGTTGCTATTACTTGTAAGATATTTATGCAAAATAATAATACATGAGACCTTTTTGTTGTTTTAACTAAGTTGACTAAGTTTTTATTTTAATTTGACTAAGTTTTGAGAATGGCTACCGACATTCAGAGTAAACGTTTTTTTTCTAAAAGAGGTTTAGTTGTAAGCTAGAGGTATTCAAAATATATAATTCCAAAGTGCAGCCGATTAAATAGATAGCAAAGAAGATTATTATTGAGAAAAAGGAAACTAAATAACAGAAACTTATTTACAAAATTCAAATTTACTTAATATCTACGTATTATGAGGTAGATAAATATTTAAACAGAGATTATTATTTGAACTGTTTGTTTTTTGTGGCAGTTTTTAATAACAAATCTACTTTTATTAATAATAAATATTATAATAACTGATCAGTGGACTAAAAATTTAACAAAAGTTATTTATTTCTAATATTATTGGATGTTGTGGAGATAACAAAGACTAATGAGATAACAAAGACTAATATATGTATATGTTTTACAAATAGTTCAGTAATTTGAAAAGTAATTATTCAGTGCTTGGTATAATTTTAGAAAATAATTACACTTCTATGGAAGTTTAGGTAGTCAGAAACTTTTAGAACCTGCAGAATACATATAAATAAAAATATTAGAGGTTTGTAGACTTGTGTAGGAATTTGTAAAGGTTCTAGCACTTTAAGTTATACCTTTGGTTAGTTCTACATAAGTTAGTTAAATTTAAGAGAAAAAAAATGAAAATAAATAAAAAATCCCACGACTGTGTAAATATAAGTTATAATACAATTTTATGAACGTACAGTACAATATAGCTTGCAACATTGGTAAATCCATCACTTCATGCAAACAATCAACCTTCAAATGCCATATTTCAATTTTCACTTAGTGTATCTTTGACATATTGTGATAGTGATGTGTTCTAGGTTATGTTTGTATTGGACAAAACTAAATACGTTCGATTATAGATAATCATTGTAATAACAAATGATACAAGTGATATGTGATAAAAGTCTTATTGCCATACTCACGAATACAATGTCTATTGAATAATTAAAAACTAGGAATTGTTCAAGGTAATAAACAATTAAACGAATATAATGCATCTATTTGTATACCAATTTTTATGAGATTTTGAAATGTGTTTCCGTTGTCACAAAATTTCTCCTACATTGACTTAAATATATGTATATATAGAATTACGATTGCCAAGAGTATAAATACGTAGGAATACTCAAGTAATACATACAGTCGGCCTCTAATTCGAAGGTTAATACTTTTTCGAGTACATACTCTTATGACTTTTAAATTTCTCTTGTTTGTAAATAAGCCATTAATACTTAAAACATACTTCCAATAATTTTTTATCGACGTAAAATTTCTCTCAGTAAATAAATTTTATCGTTGCCTTCAAATCATTGTCTTTGTTCAGATTTTTTTTTATTAGTGTTATAAAATTTCCTGAAACTAGTGAAAGTTTCTAAAGGTTTAAGACTTTAAGTCTTGATAATTAAATTTTGTCTTTTTCCCTTCCACCCGGATCCGCGGGTTTGTTACTAGACGGCTAGTAGGATGTATATCGTATTAATTATTTTGTTTCCTATAAAAATGATTTAAGTTATTCTGGGAAATACAAATATAAATTTCCTAGTCTCAAATAGAAGCTAAACGTATTTATGACGACTGTATTACGTAACAAAATAAACAATGACTGTCATTATATTTTGTACTAATTGATGGCTTGTTCTTGGTATGAGTTTGCATCTTCATCTTAAACAACAATCTCGATGTTTTTTATTCATTAATCGGAAGCAAAAAATTACAATAAGATGTATTAAAAATTCCGTATCAACTATACTTCGTTACGTCTCTGTATAAATGGTATTATAACTTTCATGTGAGAATATTTTTTTTTATTTAAAATGAAGTTTCCTAATTATCTAATATAATGAGGCACTGTGTTTGTCTATCAGTTATCATTTTATTGGTTTTTATCCTTAACTAACTTAAGCATAAAATCTATATTTTCAGTAATTTATTGTGAAAACAATAAATCTTAAAAGACAAACAAACTCCTATGAAATCGTTATACAAATTATCTAATTAAAAAGTATTCACCGTTTCAATCGAAACTGCATTGATTTAATTTTCGGTAATACCTTAAATATCAGTCAAAACGAAGGAAAAATATTTTTATAAAACAATCGAAATTCTAACGAATTGTTATATATCAATAACATCATTAAAAAATATAATTTAAATAGTATATAAACCTATATATCAGAATAGAAATAAATTGATTAATCTGTATAAAAAAGTCGTCCCACTTTACAGGTAATAACATACTGCTAACAAACCGACTGCTCTTTTTAATTTAAACTTCAAAATTATTGAAAAATGTGGGAGTTTTTATTTCGCGTTATCGTGTTTGTGTCAATATTGTTTTATTTGTCATATGTATTAGAATGCTTTATTCGGCGCCGAAGAATTATAACGTCGGTTACGTAAATTTTAGCGATGCCGTAATATTACGACGACCACTTAGAGAATATTAAGATAATAATTAATTTTATACATAACTAAGCTTTATATACCGCAACACTTTTTTTTATTATTGAGACTGTATATAATATTTTATACTTATGATTTGTGTAGAATATAGACCCATGTCAATAGAAATGTAAAACAAATGTGATAATTTTTTAACATACGGGTAGGTAACAAATTCAGAAATTTTCCATTCGATTGTTGAGGATAATGTGGCTTTAAAACTTTTTCATTACGCTTAAATTGTGTTTGCTTCTTGTTAGTCATTGCTAGGAAACTAATGAGGATAAAGTCAGCAAATAAACTATTTATAAATCTACTTTCTGATATCAATTTTAAGCTCAGATTTCAGAGCGATTAGTCTTTAGGATCGTTGAACGAGAAATTGATGAGGAATTAAATATTTATAAATATTGAAATAATTTTCATGTTACCTAAGGAAATCATAAAAAATATGTTTACGAAATTTTTAAGCGAAATAAATGAAACACCTCTTTAAATAATTTCGATACCATGATTATGATTGACAATTTATTATAATGTTTCCTTCTAATGGTTTGCAAAATTTTCTACTTTTCTTAAATATCGACACTGATTTTACTGCAACAGCATTTATTTATTTATTTATTTATTTATTTGAACGGCACATCGACAGTACATACATTAAGCACTTAAAACTAAACATTTAAAACTAAACACTAACTGATGTATGTACCAATTATGGATGTACACAGCACTGCTAAAAATTACTGTCTAGCTTACAAAAATATTATAAAAAAACAAGTTAACAAAAGAAATAACAAAACTTTATAAACTAAATAACAAAACTATTACTTAAAAAATACAAATGAAGAAGAAAGAATATCAAACAAAAATCAAAATAACAATCAAAATAAACCACTACAGCTAACCACCACCACTACTACTACTACTATACTAACAGGACATGACAAAACATCATAGATTTTTCGCTTGAACATCGGCAAGGAGTCGGAAAAAACATCAATATATTGGGTTATTGAACACAGATCGTTATACTGGCAGCATATTCTGTTTATAGGGGAAAATTTAGCTACATTTGTGCGTGACTTAGCTATGTAGAACAATTTATTGATAGGTTTTCTAGGAGGGCGACATGGGACTGAGATCTTAATTTTCTGGAGAGCCTGTTCACATTGGACAGTGCCATTCATAATTTTAAATAATAAAACTAAATCGAGAAGTTTTCTACGATTTCGCAAAGTTTCCATTTTAAAAAAAGCATTGCGAATAATATATTGAAGTTAAAACGTTTGTAAAGCAATTTAAATGAAAAGTCTCTTAAATGAATTTTCTAATGCTATGCTAATTATTTACCGTATTGTGCTATTGAATTCTATTTAATATATTGTGTTCTTTATCTCATTGTATGTTACAAGACTGTCCTTTCTTAATTGTGTATTTGCAATTGATATAAATATTTCAGTAAATCACAACTATCTGTCGGTATTTTTGAAGAGGGTAAATACTAAATTTCAGTTTATAAATCAATTTAAATGACACAACTGTTTAAATGAATGTTATAATGCTATATACTTCTGATTCGCTGCTTTGCTCTGCTATATAAAATTATATTACCATTTTGATTAAATTTAATGAATCTGTCAAGGCTCTGCGTGTTGCTATTTTCTCATTCACAAATAAATCTTTAAATCGAATATTGGCTGTTAAAAAGTAGACCATACCTTCCCGCTTCTGCTTACAAAATAATATTTCTTCTAACTTTTCCTGTCATCATTATTGAAATCGAAATATAATGTAATGATGCTGAGCAGCTTATACAGCAGTTATTTTCATTAGTTAAGTAATTTTATTATTTATAAATCTAAATGCTATGTAATGCTAAGCTTGTAATTTTCTGTATTACGCCCATGATTGCTATTTAAAATATGTCCTATTTAAATATCTTTGAAAATGTAATTAGCATTTGATGTGTAATTAACTTTCTTAGTTTTAAGAGCGACGCTAAAAGGTATTGTTTAAAGAGAAACAATCCGAAAATATTTTTATTATTTTATAACTAAATGCG